CTTCCATTAGTGAGAATGAATGGAGCACCTTCCTTCCTTGGTCAGCCCTCCTGGTTGGTATAGCCACAGGGCCATGCCTACAAGGCCACAGCAGGTTTGCCAGTATTGACTCTACTCAAGAGAGAGAGCAGCACGGCCTCTTTCAGTTAAGTTTATTTTTGTCATAAATGCATATGATTATCCTATATTATTAAAAAAAAGTTGAGAAGGAAGTGTTAACTACCCCAATTTGATTAGCATACATTGTATAGCTGTGGCAAATTATGGCACTGTGTCTCATGACCTTGTACAACTGAGGTAATTCATTTTAAAAATATATAAATATATAGATTATAAAAAAGATTACTCTCAGCCCTACAACACTCTTGAGGCACAGAGCCATAGTAACACTCTAGGGGCGCATGGGTAGGCAGGGTCCAGCAAACCAGCCCCGCTGTGAACATGGGGAGTGTGAGAGAAGGACTGTATCTGTTGTGTGACGTATCCATGCTGTATGCTCAGAGACCCTGAAATCGCCTGCCCTTCTGCTGCATGCTGTGAACCCGCCTTTATCACTTTTAGGGTCTACCATTGAGGTCTTGGAGGTTGGGAGATGTCTGAGTGGATAAGACACCTGCTGTGTGAGCGTGAGAACCTGAGTTCAGATCCCTGTGGACTGCGTCAAGGTGTGTTAGCCTGGATCCCAAGAAGAGAGCTGGGATAAAACTATATAAGAAAAACATTATGTCATTTGCTAGAAGACGAATGTAACTGGAAAATATTATTTTGAGTGAGATAACAACCCAGAAAGACAAGTGTGCACATTCTCTCTCATATGTGTATCTTGCTTCATACGTGTGTGTGTGTGTGTGTGTGTGTGTGTGTGTGTGTGTGTGTACAGTCCAGGAAACCTGAAAGGGGACTGTGAGAAGGGAAAAGGAAGATTTAAGGAAGGGGTTGAAGAGGACAACAGAGTGCATTCAATAACACAATGGAAAGGGGGAACACGTCTGTAGAAATGGACAAGCAGGGACAGAGAGCAGGGAGATCGGGGGGAAGAACTGGAGGAAGTCAACCTAAACTAAGTATGTGTAAAAACATGCCACAAGGAGACCTATTACTTGGTATGAAAACATAAACTAAAAATGAGGGGAAAAAAAGAGAAGGAAACTGTTGGGCGCGTGGCTTCCATCCAACTGATAGCAGGGAGACTTTGTTGATTTCTGAATATTGCGAAAATATATGTGTGGTTTCTGGCATCTATCTAGTCCCTCAGGTTGGAAGGTAGGAAGCCAAGACCTTCCTTTTATTAAGGACAAGGAAGAGAGCCAGGCTTGGGTGCTCACACTTGTAATCTCAGCACTTGGGAAACAGAGGCAGAAAAGATGTCGTGAGTTCAAAGCCTTCATGGGCTATGTGGTAAGCGCTAGGCCAGCTTGGTCTATAGAGTGAGGACTTATCTCAAACAACAACCATAAAAATCAACGAAACAAACAAGAATAGGAAAAGACAGAAACAATTCCATCTAGGTCCAACGAAGCCTGGCTTACCAAGGAGCAATGTCAGCCATTGGTTTAACCATCCAGAGACATCGATTTCTTGAGAAACTGCATGGGACCTTTGTTGAAGCACGGCATAGTTAGAAAGATTTGTTTGCTTTCTTTTAAAATAGAATGGGCACATCAAAGGACTCTAACTCCCTGGTGATCATGCTGCACAGCGCACCTGACGCCAGATGTGTGCTGTTTTCCCCATCAAACCCTTCTCCAGCTCTCCAGACACCAGCTGGAGATCCTATAATTTAGTCAGCTCTGGCACCAACTGGAGTCAGCACTGGTCCCACAGGTGAAGCACCCAGCCACACAAGACTGCCCTCTCTTCAAATGGCATTCGTCAGTCTGAGGCTCAGGTGTTTCTAACTAGGGGTTCACATGTCTCTCCCCTGCCCAGCTCAGGGATGATAACTAGCTGGAAGGATTCACAGACTTCAGGGGAACCCTTCTGTGTACCGGCTTGTTATGAAGGACGCAACTGAGGGACAACTGACGGAGAAGCAGCAAGGGGAGCGATGTGTCCTCAGAGAAACCAGAGCCTCCATGCCCTCTAAGTGGAGTCTCCTCCCCAACATCTCTGTACGTTCGGCATCTCCAAACTCATCTGATCATGTTGTTCCATGGCCTCTGTGGAGACTTGTCTCCCACCCATTTTGCCTGGGTCCTGTGTGGAACAGTCCAGTTCCAGCCTCACAGATGGAGCTGTGAAATCACCCCTGTTGCTGAAACTAGAAGGGGGCTATACGTGCTACAGCTCTGAGGGGAAAGGTTTCCCCAATGGAAGCGTTGCACTCCTGAGGGGAAAGGTATCCTGTCAGTCAGGAGCCAAGAGGTAACACAAAGTGACGCTGTACAACAAACCTCACGGAAGAGACTTATTAGACAAGACACAAGAGGGTGGCTGCCTCTGCTTGGGTGAGAAGCAACAGGATCTGAGCAGGAGACCAACTTATATAGGGTTTCTTGGATGAGGAGTTTTTCAAGGTGATTTCCAGAGTAAGGATTGGTGGGATTTCACGTCTTGAGTTTAGGACAAACCCAGAGATTGGTGAGTTTTCAAGCTCAGAGACTAGTGGGTTTTCAAACCCAGAAGTGAGCTCTTGCCTTTGTCCTACAGGAGTAGGTCACTGTAGTGGTCCTGGGAAAACAGGATGTGAGTGTGGACTGGACTCCTGAAGGCATCCAGACTTACTGGCCTGGCCATCTTGGCTTTCACTCTTGGCTCTCCAATCAGTGGTGAGACAAACTGTTAACCAATTTTTTTTTCATGTTAAAAAATAGCCTAAATAATACATACCTATTGTGGTGTTTTAATTAACACTTACAATATAATTATAAATAATATATTATACTATAACTACATTATAACTATAATATATTATAATTGAAATTCTTGTACTTCCATCTTTCCAGGTCACCTAAAGTATTTTATTTCTAAACCTCTGCCCAAGAAGTAGCATTGAAAAACCTTTCTGTTCTGTGCTATTTCCATCACTTCCCTAAGAAGGTGGTTTAATAAATCAATTTGTAGACTATGATAGACTATGAGTACCTTTTAATGAGGAGTTTAGTAGATAGGAACTGGAGAAATCTCAGACTCTGACTTTTCCACCTGGATAGCCTCTCAGGAAAGCATAGGGTGAAGGGCCATGCTGAGCAGTTGCAGTGTGTGTGTCTGACGGACGAGCCAGCGTTTTGACTAGCCACTTGCTTGGTGCCTCCTGTGTGCCTGGTTCTAAACTGTGAGCTTTGAGATGGAACTGCACTGCATGGTTGTAACATCTCTCGAAAGGGCAAGTATCCTCAGCAGAGAAACTTCGATGGACTTCAAAGGAATTTCTTATCCCAAACACACCCCTGCGGCAGGTGTTGAAGCTGTTCAAGGTAAGGATAAACAGTAAGAGATTTCTTTAAAAAGGATGAGAAAGTAAAAGACGAACATGTGGCAAGAGGAGCTGGGGGGGGGGGTCAAAGATGAATAGAGAAGTTAGAAATGTATCAGCCTGAGATTGTCCTTGACTGCTCCATCCTCCCTGCCTGCTGGTTAATACCCGTTTCTCTTCCATCAGCACACTGCTACTTCCCACAAATCTGCCAGGTGCTAAAATGGGTAAAAGGAGGTCAAACAGAAATGAGCATTCATGCTCTTTAATTTGGAACTGGCATTTGGAGGTGTTTGTGAGGGCTTAAGTTTCATTAATCCACTCCTTAGGAGCAAAGCCGGCAGGTTCTTGTCCATGGATTTTAGAAAGTTGAAGTTTTTTCCTTTAGACCCTTGCAGTTCCCTAAATCTCTTGGCCGGTGGAGGAGGCTATCTTTAAATAGGTGGCTTGTTTCCTAGGAGTCTCTTCCCACAGACTGCATGTCATTTAGCCCATTTACCTTGCAGGGGAGGATGTACAAAAGTACGCAGAGGGCTATTTTGTGGGGATGCGGGATGGCATTAGCTATTTTATAACCGTGCTATGTTTTAAACCTTTCTCCTTCTTCTTAGGAAAGACTCTGCTGGCTTCCTGTTTCATCACATTAAACTCCAGGGAATGACTTCAGTTTTGATCCAAAAGCTTCAGCTCTCAGAAATTCCAAGCTCAGAGCCTTCAGGTCACATGCTAATCACATGCAGGAGAACATAGTAGATGTGCAGAAGGTGGGCAGTAGAAAACAAAGTGGTGCTGGTCTCAGGCAAGCACTTGAAGGCCTAAAGGACAATATGAGCCTGTCATAGCTCAGATTCCACGGATGACCAGGACTCCCGCTAGGCAAGAAGAAGCCCTAATGCCGGAATGAATCATGGTGTAAAAAATTTACTATGTGAATTCTGGGAAAGAGGTATGCCTGTGCATCTGTCCCCGGGTGTGTTAGTCTGCATCCAGAGAAGACTGAAGAGAGATGGGAGAAAGGTATTAGTTCCCGGAGATGATGTGCCATCAGTTCAGGCTCTGGATATGGTACTGATGAAAAACTGCCTCCCTTGGTGGGGCAATGCTTGAAGTGCCATCACTGGGACCCTCCAATAGCCTCGTCATATGTAAGGTCCTGGCCAGGCAGAAGCTCACCGTATCACATCTTTAGTGGCCATCATCTATGGCCATCAACATTGCATTATCGTTGGAAGTTTTGGAGGGGGCCATGAGAGGAGATAGCTGTACCCCCAACGTCCATAATAACTGTGGTAAATGTAAATATACAGGGAAGTATTGCAGATGTTAAGGACCTCTTTGGAGAGCTTCCAGAATCATCATGCTGTATTACCATGACGGAAGAACAAGACTCCCTGCAGACCAAATCCGATCAATTCAGACCAAATCAGACAAATTCTGTGTATTGACTTTAAGACTTGAGCTATATGCAACTGATGTGTGGTGGGAAATAAAGCCAATGTGTGTTAGGATAACAGAATCATATTTTTATTATTGAGGAAGAATATGGAAAAGAATGTTGGGTTGCTAAGGATCATGTGACATGAACCCTAGGGCTAGATGGTGAGTGATCCCTGCTGGAAAATCAGATAAAAAGTACCCCTAGCACTGTATATCATTGCTGACCGGAAGTCTTAACTTGGCCATTAGCAGTGGCGGTTGGTTTAAGCTATGACTTAGTTTCCCATTGCTGAAAATGTCATCACCTAATGCTGTGTAATTTCACATCTCACCATTCAGTAAAAAAATCTGACTCGGCCCTCACTGAACTAGTAGGCTCAAGGTCCAGCAGAGCTGTCATCTTCTGGGAGCACTGGAGAAGAATGCTGCATCTTTTCCGGCATCCAGAGGATGCTCAGCCTTTGGTCCATGGGTCCTTCTGTCTCACTGAGGGTTTAAGTCACCTGGCCAACTCTGGCTTCTTCCCTGTCACTCTTTCATTTTTCAAGTGCCTTTGGATTCTACTGGACTCATCCGGATAATTCAGGATAATCTTTTGCTCTCAAGGTCAGTTGTCTGACAAGCGTAATTCCATTGGCAAGCTTGATATTCCTTTGTCACAGGGATCTCCAGATTCCAGGGATCAGGGCACAAGCCTCTTTGTGGGCATTATCCTACAAAGAAAGAAAACAAGGACAGATAAAATTTACTGAATGACAGGTCAATGAGGCCATATGGGGACATAAAGCAGAGACGCTGGAAATAGGGCACAGTTGACATGCGTCTTCAAGGCTGAAGGACAAGCAAGTAAATTCCCCTAAGATGTCAGGCAATGTGGCTCATTCCTGCAATCCCAGAACTTTGGAGTCTGAGGCAGGAGGATTGCCAAGAAAGTTCAAAGCTCCCTTGGACTACAGCAGGAGCTCCAGGCCAGCCTTGGCAATAGAGATCCTTTCTCAAAATTAGAACAAACAAGCAAACCCAACAACAAGCTCTAAGAGGTAAGAGAATCTCTGTGGTGCCATCTATGAAGGAAGCTTTCCAGGCAAGGTGATGCTGAGTGTCAAGGCCTAAGGAGCAGGCCTGCTTGGAGTGTTGGAGTAGCAGGGAGGAGCTGGAGCTGAAGTCACCAAGAAGGGGACCAAGAGAGGAGAGGAAAACAAAGAGGATGCTGAGCCTCAGGTGACAATCACAGGTTACCAGCCAGGACTTTGCATTTCATTGAGCATAGAGGAGTTTTGTTCAACATTTTCAGAAGTGTTTTTTTTTCTTTAAAGATGATTTCAGAAGACTATTTTAAGTTTATATACTCCAGGGAGTTCCCATGCATGCCAACTTCACTGTCTGTCCACGGTGTCTGTAAACAGAACACAACCATCAGTGCTAGCTGGCACTGGTCCAGAACCATGCAGGCCCTCTGCAGACATCACTGGGTTTTCGGCTACCTTCCTCTATTGGTCTTGGATCCCATCCAGGATTCCCTGCTGTAAGGGTCTGCAGCTGAATCTGCTCTGCTTGTTTTCCATGACCTTGGCACCTTTTAGGAGGCTTATATAGGATGTTCCACAATGTGGTTTGCCAAAGTGGTCTTACAGTTACTCAGTGATGACCTTGGGAAGAGAATGGCACAGTTGAAAAGTCTCTCTGGTCACACCCATGTCACAGGGTCATCACCACAGATAGCTTAGTGACAGAGGTATTAACATCAGCTGGGGCCTGACAGTTTTCTCATCTATAGAGTTCCCCCACAGCATCTTGTACTCTTTTCATGATAAGTGAGACTTAAATCCAGGCTACACTCAAGGGAAGGAGATATCAGGCCTATATGTTGGTGTGCGAAGTACCAAAGAATGTATGTACGTAGGTTGCAAACACTAGTACAATGGGCAAGAACTCTAGAGGTCATTCTTTAGTGCAGTGGTTCTCAGCCTTCCTACTGCTGCAACCCTTTACTTTAATACAGTTCCTCATGTTGGAGTGACCTGCAGCCATAAAATTATTTAAATTGCTTCTTCATAATTCTAATTTTGTTACCGTTTTGAACCATAATGTAAATATCCATGTTTTCTGATGGTCTTAGTGGACCCCTGTGAAACGGTCCTTCAACCACCAAGTGGGCAGCAAGCCATAGGATGAGAACGCATGCTTTAAGGCCATGAGAATATCACACTCCTCCAAGTCTTGCACACACAGAGCAGCACAGATCCACAGATCCATGATCCTGCCTCCTTAGGATACCTTCCCGAGAATCCTACCCACCCATCCCTGCTCCACTCCACTACTGAAAAGGTCTAGTCAGAAAACTGGCCCCTTTGTTTTCTGTAAAGAGTTTGTTTGTGGGGTGTTCTTTGGGTGGCTGTTATTTTAGTTTTTAAAATCAGGGTCTCGTGTAATGACTTGAATGGATGAATGGCTGCCAGAGGCTGGAGCAGGGAAGAGGATCCACGGACTTTACTGGAAGGCCCTGATAGCAACCCTGTATATTACCAGCCAGCCTGTGGGTGTGAGTCCTGATCTTCATGCCTCAGCCCCACCCACGGACTAATAGTTCCCTGAGCACACACCTGCAGATGTCACTTTCAATGTAAACATGTAGTGTGCACAGCTGGCTTTGCTTGAACAAACTCTTCAGGGCAGCAGCCTTGGGAAAACAAAAGAGAGGCTCCTGGCACCCAGCTTGACTTTGTAAAATCAAGAGAGAACGTATGGTGTTGGGAACTATTTCTAAGGGGAGCAAGAGGCGTGGGACAGGCTTACCCAGAAGAAAATGTGTGCTAACGAGTTCCAGAGTAGCCCACTGGGTTCAGTGAGCGCACATCTCCTGAAGTAGCCCACTGGGTTGTTCAGTGAGCTCGTCTCTCTTGAAATCAGCAGAAGCTAGAAGAGGCAGCTGCTTCTTCGGTCACAAAGGCAGCAAGTAAAAGACTTTCTAAGAAGAGAAGCATAAATAGAAAGGGTTATCACTGAAGAAATAAAAATATTCCAGTAACTAATCCTAAGGAATTAGTGTGACTTGCCTAACCAAGAATTTAGAATGGTTGTTTTTAAGGATGTCCAATGCTACAAGGGAATATAGGCAACTTAAGGATACCACAAAGTAAATTAACAAAATTAGAAGTTCAATAAAAAGTTAGGAAATTTCAAGTATAAGTAAAATTCCTGATCTTGAAATGGAAACATGTAATAAAATCTGGCTTGTTGCTTGGTTGAAGAGCTACATGGGGGTGATTGCTATAAATGATTCCCGACTCCTTTTCTTTACTCTGGGAAGCATTTATTCAATGATAGAACCATTACAAAACACCTCAGGGTCCCCTTAACAAACCACCAGAGTAATCTTCATTCATAAAACTTTTATTGAGTCTCACTGTGTCCCGGGCACTCTGTTATCTGCTGATGATGCAGACAGGAAAGAGAATTTTCTCTTTCCCTGGGGCAGATAGGTGTAACAGTTCTAACAGGTGCAAGGGATATCATGAACTTGGGGGCAAAGTCTGCTAAAAGTGGTAGAGTATTAACACAAGAGAGGGAGCCACTATTCTCCTAAAAGGCAGAGAAGGAAGAATACAAAGCTAAGAGCTTAGCTAGTCATAGGTATAGGGCTGGAGTTCTAGCCAATTACAGAATGTTCACACATCTCTAAACGATGACAAAGTGGTGTAGTAGAGACCACGCTACCCACACCACACAGTTGTGTTTTCATCTTGAACACACTTCCCGGTTCCCTTACAGCCAGAAGGGACCATATATCATCACACTATGGGTCATAAAATGAGGGTAAAATGTAGGGATACCAGTCATAGGCTCCACCCCTGAACATCGGGTAGTTGGCTACATGTTTTGTGCCCTCTATGAAAAGGCTGATGTCTCAGTCACTGTTCTATTGTTATGAAGAGACACCATAGCCAAGGCAACTTTTATAAAAAAAAAAAAAAAACAAACACTGGGGCTTGATTATAGCTTCGGAAAATTGATTAGTCTATTATCATCATGGCAGGAAGAGTGATGGAAGAGAGATAGAAAGGCAAGCAGGCATGCATGGTGCACACACACACAATCACATACACATACCCATGAGAGAGAGAGACAGAGACAGAGAGAGACTGGGCCTAGTGTGGACTTTTGAAACCTCAAAGTCCCCAGGAACAGACCTCCTCCAAAAAGGCCACACCTCTGAATCTTTCTCAAACAGTTCCACTATCTGGAGACCAAACATTCAACTACAGGAGGCTCTGAGGGCCATTGTCATTCAAACCACCACAACTTAGATGTTCCAGCCATGCTGGAAAGGGCTCTCAGAAGCCTGCATTGACAAGCTGCCCCAGGAAGCATCCCTGGCTGAAAACACAAAACAAACAACCTCATAGCAACTCTGAAACTGCTTTCTGTAACCATCAGGCTGTTCCTGATTAATGTATCTCAACCTCAGAGGCTGACTGGAGACATAATGAGATCATGAGACCTTCTGAGTAACCAGCAGTCAATATTGCTATCGTTGCCATGCTACAAAGACGTGAGCACACACATAGATAAAACTAGAGGGGATGTGCTGAGCAGGCAGATAATAGAAGGAATCACAACGGTAGGAGTAGTAGAAATTCTCAGCAGACTGGGGAAGAACAGCAAAGAAAGGAAGCTAGCCAGGAGCTGTGGTACACACTGGTGCTCTCAGAACTACAGAGGCTGAGCTGGGAAGATCATGAATTGAGAGCCAATGTGGTCTCCATAGCAAGACCCCATCTAAAACAGAGTTTTAAGAAAAGAAAAGAATGAAGACTTGGGATAGAGCTCAGTTGGGAGAGTGTTGCCTTCAAAGGAAAAGCTCTGGGCCCTATCCCCAGCATGGAATAGACTGGGCTTGGTGGCTCACAGGGGGAACCTCAGCACTCAGGAGATACAGGGGGAAGGGTCAGAAATTGATGGGCATCCTCAGCTACGTGGTGCATTCACGACCAGCCTGGGCTACATGAGCTAGATCCTGTGTGACAAACAAAGACTGAAAAGATAAAAAGAAAAAGAAGAAAGGAGAGGGATGATCAGGACTGAGAGAGGGACGACTGGGAGGAAGAAACAGAGCAGAAAGAGGGGAAAAGCCCAATAGTGGCCACTCAGCAGCCAGGGAGTGCGGCTCAGAGCAGGGTACCTGGCCCAGGGCTTCTGCTAGCAGCTGCTCCCAGTTCAGTGCTGTTCCTCCCCAGTCCATTCCAGATGCAGGTGGAAAAACATGAATCTCTCATTTGTTATAAGCCGACGAAAGTTCCTTCCTGGACACTTGTTTTTACTACTTGGAATGTGTTTCTTTCAGCACCTTCCGGTCACAGGAAGGGTTTCAGGAAAGGAGGAGAGCAGAAGTCTCCACAGAGGCTGACTAACAAAAAACAGAGCTCTCTTTGTGTCTCGGGGCTGTGCGGGAACAAAGGACAATGTGCAGGGCTCTCCTAAGGCCCTGAGCAGCTGACACATCCCTGGTCCTAGGGATGCTAACCCATTGTCATGCCACCATTTCCCTGTGCTGTGCTGAGGGATGCTGTGTCCTTGAGCTCCTCACTACCATCATCCAGACAGCCCAGAGGGAACCTAGAGATGAAGCACTTCTCCTTACCTCTGCCAGGCTTGCTAACCTTTGCCAAGCCAGCTCTGTGATACTGAGTCTATGAGATAGTGAAGTATAGGCTTTGCTTATGAGATAAAATGAAAATGTCTCCCCAACTGGAATGGACCCAATCAACCTCGTTCATAATATAATCTTATCAAGAAATAAAACACACACACACACACACACACACACACACACACACACACACACGTCAGATAACCCAGGAGTTAGTACTTCTAGGCAAAGGAACAATTCATGCCCCCAATGGGAAGTGATTGAAGCAACACCAAATCGGCCCAGGCTGGCTGAGGATTAAGACCGAGCCTACAAAGAGACCTATTTATTTATTCCTTAGGGCTTCCAGAGAAGCCCATGGTCCAACTGTGTGATCACAGTCTGCTTTTTAAAAGTACATTTCACAACTGCTGCTAAAGACACATTTTTGTCCCTTTAAACAAACACTGAGAGATAAGAAACCAACACAAAAGGAACTATCAAATGTGATTGGTGCATATATCTCTTTAAGATATGTGATTTGTGCTATCTAGAGAATTAGCTAAAAGGTTCACACAGATTACCTCCCACACTGCTGGACCACACTCCCTGGAAAAGATACTGTGGAGGACTAGGAAAGTCCACAGAAGCAGCCACTATGTAGATGCCCAGAGGCCCCTCCCCATCCCTGGCATAAAGACTCCTGGGGGAGATTTCTTCTCACACTTCTTTACTTTCTATTTTTTTTCACCCACTTCCCCCATTTGGTGCTGCTTTTGCCTGCCTTTGTTTTATTTCAACTCTTGTTCTTAAATAAAGGAAAAGTGAGGGAAAGGGAAGGAGCATTTATTAAGCACCCACTTCTGAGACAAGGGGTTTCAAGTGTTATTTACTCATTCCTTCCATTGACTTAATCTGAAAAAGAATCTTGGCATGCTCCCAATGGAAGCATTTTTAATAAACTTTTTTAAGTAGCAAAGGCAATTTATTAAGTACTCTATTTTAGGACATCAAAGTCCTCAATATGTCCAATATATTAAAATCCTTGCCCTCCCTGCATGCTCTGTAGGGCATACAGTCTCTGTCTTTAACACACACACACATATCTCAGAGACACATCCTTTCTTTCCAACCTATGATGTGGATAATAGGTCTCATGGGCTGGCCTATCACCTCCCCCCCTCCCACCTCCACAACCGTGACTGCCTCAGTGCCTGACAGGTACAGCGGTAGCTGGAGCTGGAGAAGAGACTTCCTGCACCCTTCCAAATGACATTCCGAATTCCAGGATTCCCTTACTCAAGGCTCCTCTGTGACCTCTGTCAGCTCCTTCCCACCCTTCCTCTGCCTCGCTCGGTTCTTCCCGACTCTGGGCTTGCATGGGGCACTGTTACCAAGATCTACTGTGATCTCCCCTCAGTCCCTTGGTCCTTTTAAACTCCACAGAACAAATCCAGACAGCACTCTGGCAGAATAGTGTAAAAGACAGATGGAGTATGGTATATTACAGAGTAGGGGGGGTGCCTCCTGGAGGGGTGACTGTGGCAATGACTAAGGGGACCATTGCAGAGGGAAGCATTCTGACCGGGCAAGACTTGACCATGGCCAGAGAAAGCCTTGTACCAGGCACGGTCTCAAGAGGTAAGAATGGACAATGGGCAAAGAGACTATTGTGCCAACTCACATGCTCCTGTAGGCGTCTTCCTCTCTCTCAGAGTTCCTGGAACAGACAGCTTTCCTGGTGAGTGTTTTCCTGTCTAGGTGGTAGATAGGCCCATTTGAACAAACTTTACGTGAGGGACATAAAAGTCTTTATCAACTAGATAGTAATCCTTTGCCCCTCTTTGAGGGACAGTTTGGTATGCCCTATCTCCACCCGAGGCCAAAGACACCACTCAGACCCTGTTCTTGTGACCAGTAGTCAGGATCCCTGGAGTGTACTGTAAAACTATGACCTATGCAGAATGAGACGGCTACTCCAGTAGAAGCAGGTCAGACTAACTTAGAAGATGCCTGGGGGACATCCTCTCGATTGTAGTTGATGTAGAAGGGACCAGACCACTGTGGGTTTCACTATCCCCCAGACAGTCAGACTTGTGCTGTATGAGAACAAGAACCTGCGAGGGAACCAGCATGCAGTGTTCATCTGTGATTTTTGCTTTAAGCTCCTGTCTTGGCTTTCCTCAACGATGGACTAAAACCTATAAATGAAATAAATCCTTTTCTTCCCAAGTTGTTTCCATCACGGTGTTTCTCATAGCAATGGAAAGCAAGCTAGGACATGTGGAATAGGAGGTGTCCCTCACGGGACCCATTTCCATACCCATAGGCCCAGTCCTCAATTGTCCTTCATGTAGGGGCACCCTATGGCTTCCTGCAGAGGGAATCTGATGTTGCCTGTAGACTTGCATGTAGAAAAGATGAGTTTCTGCTCAGCAGGCCCAAGCCAAAGTTCTCCCTCAGTCTGCAGTCCTTATCGCCTAGGTCTACCACCCCATAGCTACTGGCTTATGTGAACCACGACTCCTGGCTCTGTACATAAGAGGGAGGGTGTTGTAATAAGGAGCGGTGGGGCTGTGTCCCCAGCACCCCAGCCGCCTGGCTAGCTTATGCCCCAAAATAACAACATACAAATTGTATTCTTTTAAACACTGCTTGACCCATTTCTATCTAGCCTCTTCTAGGCTAATTCTCACATATTAATTTAACCCATTTCTAATCATCTGCATAGCACCGCTAGGTGCGCTTACCGGGAAGATTCTAGCCTACGTCCATCCTGGGTCGGAGCTTCATCGCGTGTGTCTACCCGGGAGCAGGGAGCATGGCGTCTCTGAGCTCACTTCCTCTTCCTCCCAGCTTCTGTTCTGTTTACTCCTCCCACCTATGTTTTAACCTATCAGGACCAAGCAGTTTCTTTATTGCTTAACCAATGAAATCAACAGATTGATATATGACACTCCCACATCAGGAGGGGATGCTCAATTTATGGTGAGGTAGCTGGGGCACAGATAGCTTTTGGAACATCTCCAGGACACACAACTAGTAAACTGTGGAGCTGGGGTATGGACACCCAGGTAATAGGGAGTCCCTGTCTTTCTTTCCCTGAATCCTATGGTTTGCCTACAATTAAATGCACCCATCAGGATGCTCTGTTGAAAGTCTACATACATAAGGGCCCCACAACCCATAATGTTCTGGAGGTCGTGACACTGATTGTCTGTCTACATAGAATCTACTAACTACCAAAGGTAACCTAGATGCTTTACACGTATATCTATTTTACAGACTGAACTAGGGCACAGGTATTGATGAAAATGAGAAGGGTGGTCTAGAGTCACTAATCCAGGCTTTCTTGGCTCTTTTGATATGATAATGTTTGTTGAGAACCTCTCTGGGAGCCCACAGCCAAACATGAGGCATAGCTCAGGGAATCCTGAAGAAGAGGGTGAGGAAGGATCATAGGAGCCATAGGGATCATAGACCCCCCACAAGAAAATGACTCACAGAATCAACTAACCTGGGGTCACAGGGCTCACAGAGACTGAACCCACAGCCAGGGAGCATTATGAGACTGACCTAGGACCTCTGCATATATATAGTGGTTGTGCAGCGTGGGGTTCTTGTAGGACCCCTAACAGTGGAAGTGGGATCTGTCTCTGACTTTTTTTTTTTTTTTTTTTTTTTTTTGGTTTTTCAAGACAGGGTTTCTCTGTGACTTTGGAGCCTGTCCTGGAACTAGCTCTGTAGACCAGGCTGGTCTCGAACTCACAGAGATCCACCTGCCTCTGCCTCCCGAGTGCTGGGATTAAAGGCGTGTGCCACCATCGCCCGGCTCTGTCTCTGACTTTTGAGACCCTTTTCTTCTTAGTGGGTTGCCTTAATATGATGGGACATGCCTAATCTTATTATAAGTTGATATGCCAAATTTGGTTAATATTCCTGGGAGGCCTGCACTTTTCTGAAGGGAAGGAGGAGTGACTCTGAGGGAGGGGGGTGAGGTGAGGGCCTTGAGGAGAGGAGAGAGAAGAAACTGTCGTCAGGATGCAACAATGAGAGAGAGAGAGAGAGAGAGAGAGAGAGAGAGAGAGAGAGATCTTCTCCAGGGAAGATGGAACATTTTAAACTTCCTAAATATGATGGAAAGAAGTAAAAAGAAGCATAGGACCATTGTTTTGCCAGGCGCCCTCTGGGAGAGCTCTGGTTGGTAAATCAATTTAGTACATTTTTCTATGCTATGCAAGTGAACTATCTGTCAGATTTTGCTCCCCTGTTCTAGAAAGAACCAGGGATTCTGGGAATAAGGCTGAAAGAAGGGAGGAGAAGGGGAGCTTGCTCTCAGGGAAGGGTAACCTTTTCCAAGCTCAGGCTTCTAGCCTGTAATCTGGGTATGGCACTACGTCCTATACAGGGCTAGCAGGGCCGTGTCAGAAAAGGTGGTGTTGGTTATAATAAGGGCCATGCCACTGCCGCTGGTGACTGTCATTCTTTATCCCATTGCTGCTTACAGTGAGTATCATGGCCTTGACTAAACCTTGAAGTTAAATGTAGCCCCATTTTTTTCCTTATAAAATCAGGAATAGAGTTCTGCTTTATCCACAAACCTTGGTCCAGTGC